CTGCTGCTGAGCTAAATCCCCAGCCCCCAATGTGCCACTTTCAACAAGGATGGAACAAACTGAAGAAAGTAGTGGACTTGAAGAACACAATAAATCAACTAGGTCTAACAGAGTTATACAAAATTTTACCCAACAACAACAGAATACACGTTCTTCTCACATGTATGTGAGATTCTCCAGGATAGAAGATTGGTTAGGCCACAAAACATGTTAATACATTTAAGAAAATAAGATGTCACACAAAATATTTTCTCCATCTACAGTATGATGAAGTTAGAATCAGGGAGGGAAGGAAGACTGAAGTATTCTCAAATTTGTGGATGCTAAATAATAAACTTAACAGGTCAAAGAGGAAATTAGACTATATTTAGAGATCAATAAAAAAACACTGAAAATTTGTGGAACACAACATTAGCAGTGTTCATAGGGAAATTTATAAGTGCTGTCATCAAAAAAGTTCTCAAATCAATAATTTAACTATAAGTAATGAATAACCTAAATCTAAAGATATTAGAAGAAAAATATAAATATTAGAGCAGAGATAGAGAATGGAAAGTAAAGAAATAATTGAAACCTAAAGTAGTTTCTTTGAGAAGTTTGATAAAATGTAAACCTTTAACTAGACTGAGAAAACATCAGTAATTAAAAAGGAGGGGCTGGGTGTTCCTACTGACCTTTCAGAGATAAAAAAGGTTTTAGGAAAATACTGAGTAATTGTATGCCAACAAATTAGATAACCTAGAAAAAATGGACAAGTTTTTTAAAGCTCTGAAATTCTCTAAACTGAATCAGGAAGATACAAAAACTTCAACAGACCTCTAGTAAGTGTTATAGCTTTCATAAAAATGTCCCCTAAAGGTTCATGTGTTAAAAGCTCAGGCCCCAACTACAGTGCTGTTGAGAAGATGGTGGCATCTTTAAGCAGTAGGGTCCAGTGTGAGGAAGTACATTTATTGAGGCATACCTCTGAGTGGGATATTGGGACCTTGGCCCCTCCTCTCTGCCTCTTGGCTGCAATGAGGTGAGCAGTCATCTCTATCATGAACCCTGGCTGTAATGTACTTCCTGACTCATCTTAAGCCCAAAGAGATGGGGTCAGTCAATCATGAACTTAAACCTTGGAAACTGTGGACTAAAGCCTTTCCTCTTTGTAAATTGTTTGTTTTGGGTATTTTGTTACTGTAACAGAAGAAAGCTGTTTTATACAATAAGTAAAAAGTTTGTTAGTAATCAAAAACCTCCGAGAAAGTGCCATGACAGATAGTTTCAGTGATGAGTTTCACCAGACATTTAAAGAATTAACACTTTTCCATTTTTAAACTCTTCCAAAAAACTTGTAACACTTAACAACCCATTCTTTGCAGTCAGCATTACCTGGATATCTAAGCCAAATAAAGACATCACACACAAAAAAATCACAAACCAGTATAAAATAATAAAGTATTAGGAAATTTACTCCAATAGTGCATTAAAGAGCAAGTGGGATCAATCCCAGGAAGGCAAGGGTGATTCAACATAAAATTCATCGATAGAATGTATTAATGAAATGGAGGGAAGCCATGTGATCATCTCAGTGAAAAACCCTTAAAATGCAGCCAGGTGTGGGGGTGCATGTCTATAATCCCAGCATTCGGGAGGCTGAGGCGGGGAATCATTGTGAGTTCCAGGCCAGCCTGAACTGCATAGTGAGACAGTATCTCAAAAAGACAAAAAAAAAACCCCGAAAATACAGTACCATTTTATGATAAAGACTCAGAAATAGAGCCGGGCATGGTGGTGCATGCCTGTAATTCTAGCACTTAGGAGACTGAGGAATGGGATCTTTGCGAGTTCAAGGTCAGCCTGGGCTACCTAGTGAGCTCAAGACCATCCTGAACTAGGTAGTGAGACCCTGTCTCAAAAAGACAAAAAACAAAACAAAACAAAACAAAACAAAACCTCAGAAAACTATAAATAGGAGGAAAATTTCTCAATATTACAGAGTGCTATATTTATGAAAACTCCCAGCTAATATTAAATTCATTGGTCAAAGAGTGAAAGCTTTTTCCTCTAAAATACACAATCATATGGGATAACCACTTTAACCAGTGCTATATAGTATTATACTGAAAGTTGTAATTTGAGTTACTAGCTAAGAAAAATTAAAGTCATGCAAATGGAAGAGGTAAAACTTTTTCTTCACAGACAGCATGAATCTATGCATAAGAAGTTATGTAGACTAGCAGAAACCTGCAAGAACTTATAAATGAATTCAGAACTACAGGATACAAGATCACATAAAAATCAATTATACTTCTATACACTAGCTATGAGCAATCTAAAATAAAAATTAAGGAAACTATTTTGATATCTAAAAGAATTACTTTGGAGCAAATTTAACAAAGGAAATAAAAGATTTATATACTACAAACTGCAGAACAGAGGTAAGAAAAATTAAAGATCTAAATAAATGGAAAGACATTCCATATTGATGGATTAGAAGACTTGTATGTTGTTCATATATCAGTGATACCCAAAGCAGTCTCCAGATTCAGTGCAGTCCTTATCAAAGACCCAATAGTCTTTTTCCACAGAAATAGAAAAATCAGTACTTCATGTGGAATTTCCATAGGGTTCCAAGTGGCTAAAGTAATCTTGAAAAATAGAGATAAAGTGAGAGTATTCATAGTTCCTAATGTTGATAGTACAAAGCTAGTAATTAAAATAGTATGGTATTGGTATAAGTTCAAAAGTAAGCCCTCACATACAGAGCAACTGATTTTTGACAAGAGTGCCAATACCATTCAGTGGGAGAAAGGACAGTTTTTAACAAATGGTGCTAGGAAAACTGGATATCTACATAGGGAAGACTGAAGTGGAACCTTTATCTTACACTGTATGAAAAAATTGACTTGAAGCTAAGACCTGAATTTAAGAGCTAAAACTATAAACATCTAGAAAAAAATACAGAGAAATCATCACGACCTCAAAGGCACAGGTAATAGAGAAAATGGGTAAATTGCATTTCATCAAGATTGTCATGCATCAAAGAACACTATCAAGAAAGCAAAACGGCAACTTACAGAAAGGAGGAAATGTTTTCAGGTTGTTTATCTGACAAGAGATTATATAAAGAACTCCTACAACTGAACCACAACAAACAACTCAGTTAAAAAATGTGCAAAGCAAAAAACATACACTGGAGGAAAGATAGCCTCTTTAATAAATGATCCTAGGAAAACTGACTACTTACATGCCCAAGATTTAATCTAGACCCACATCTTTCACCCTGTACTACAATAAAATGGATCAAATTAGTACAGATACTTAATATGCTGGAAGAGAAAATAGGTAAAACTCTTGAAGTCCTAGGTGTAAGTAAGGACTTTCTGAATAGAACCCTAATTGCACAAGAAGTAGCACCAAGGATCAAGAAATGGGATCATTAAATTAAAAAGCTTCTACAAGGCAAAGGAAATAACCAGCAGAGTAAAGAGACAACATACAGAATGGGGAAAAATCTTTGCCAGCTGTTCCTCAGAAAGCAGTTACATAGCACAACTAAAGATACTCAGGAAAGAGGACTTTTAGAATTGCTTCCAGAGGAAAATTAATGGCAATGTATCTTTTACTATATGTATTACATTTTCTTATCCATTCATCTATTGGTGGACACTCGAGTTGCTTCCATGTTTTAGCTATTGTAAATAATGCTGTTACGAACACAGGTATACAATTATCTCTTCAAGACTCTGTTGTCATTTCTTCTGGATGTTGTAGATTGACAACTGGTAATCAACTTGGATCACCCAGCTGAACTGAACCAGCATGGTTCTGGGTGTGGAGGGCCTACCTGAGGATTGTTGCTAACAAAATAATAAGAACTGGAAAAGAAGAAGGAGAAGCTGTTGGGAACTGTTAGTTCTCCTGGTGTTGTTAGTTCTGGAGGAGCTTGTCATGCTGGCTTTCCTGATATAAATGTGGCTGTTCTCATTGTCAAAGGAGCTCGGCACTTTGTTGCTGAGAATGGCTATGGTTCACTTTGGGGGAGCTCTGGTCCTTACTTTGAGCATTGCTTCCTGGCTCTGGAGGGGAAGATGGTGCACTGGTCAATGTCCTGGAGAAGCTTGTCCCACTGGCTTTCCTGATAGGAACTTGGCTGTTGCTGTCAGAGGAGCCCAGGACCTCATTGTTACTGAGGATGGCAGTGGTACCTTTTGGAGGAACTCTGGTTCTTACTTTGAGTATTGCTTCCTGGCAGATCCCTCAGCCTGCTAGCAGAGATCCTTCATCCCACCAACACAGACTTTCTAACTTCTATCACTAACCTTTGGGCCTTCTTAGCACAGATCCTTGAAATATTTGACATTGTCATGGGCTCTTGGCCTCCAGCTGAACTTGTAGGGGGCTTATTATGGGCTTTAGGTCTTCAGCTGGACTCATGCAGGACATTATCGTGGGATCCAGGCCCTCAGCTGGATTCTTTGGGTCTTTAGTGAGTAGACAGATTTCCTGCACTCTTTTGAACTTGACTTGGGGTAACTATTATGAAATAATCCTATAAATTATGTGTCCTGTATTGTTTTCTTTGCAAATCCTGACTATAATAGATGTATATACAGAGATGAAATTTCTGCATCATAGTCAATATTACAAGTTTAATAGAGTTATAAATACCTACTATTAGGTCCTGTAAGTAAGCAGGATGGGGGAAGGAAGGGAAAGTAGTAGTATAAAGACTCTGACACTGCAATAGAAATCAGTAGAAAAGTGCTACTCCTTATATACTTGTATTTCACATAACTTTTCAGAAATATATTAATCAAATAAAAATCCAGGTTTTCTCTTGGCTGATTGAGGATTTGTTTTGTTACTGTCTGTCTTTGGTTTTCCCTCCATCTTTTCTTTTCTCTCTCTCCTTTCTCCTTTCTCTCATTTTACTCTTTGTTCTTTTTATATGTAATATTTGACAGTATAATGCTGAAGGAACCTTAAAGTTGTATTTTTGTATTTTTCTTTAGAGCATGGTTTCTGAGGAAGACACACTGAACAAACTGTACAACAATAATAATCCACCAGTTTCTCATCTTTGTGTCAGAACACCAAAAAAGGTAGGTTTTGAATTTTATTTCAGAAAAAAAATTAAAGGTGGACTTTTATACAAAAATTGAAAATGCTGTAATTTTGTTCTATTTTTTTATTCAGACCCCTTCATCTCTGACAACTCCTGGATCTGTGCTCAAACTTGGATCTGTGAGAAAAATGCAAGATGACCGTTGGGCTGTAATTGCTAAAGTGGACAGGAGAAAAAAACTAAAAGAAGCAGAAAAGTTATTTATTTAATTTAAGATAATCAGTGTGATAATGGAACCTAATAACATCAAGTTAATAGTTAATTTTTTGTTTTCCAAAGAGCCAGACTTCACCTGGAGATTCAGACTTTAAAAGTTTGCATAAATAATTTGTATTTTTTATATTATATTTTGGCCAGAATGTGAAATATCTGTATATTATCTGGACACTTACTGTTATAGTCAGATAATTGTATAATTATATTTTGTTACTTTTTCCTATATTCAATATTGTTTTCAGATTTTTGATTTTGAATATGAGAAATGCATTATTAAGATTTATTCTTCATTCTTTACTATTAAAATATTTTGGATGCAAATAAATGCTTCATATTGACTCTGTAAGGACACTTGAATAGCTACATGATTATAATTTTAAGAATAGTATTTTTTAAATCGTGAGAGCGTATTAGTGGAGTTTTATACTTCGAAGCAGCATTGATTGCTATATTCATAAAATTGTCAGATGGCTTTTTTGTGGCAGGAAAAAAGTTTATAGTCATGTGACTTTCTGAAATGAATTAAATATCTATTGAGTGTGTACCAAGAGTTAACTACAATTCTAGATACTGGGCATATAACAGTGAACAGAAAGGAAAGTAAACCCTCTTTTCTAGATTTTATATTCTGGTGAGGAAAACAGACAATAACCAAAACCTCTAGTGTATAGCTAATGATAATTACTAAGAAGAAAACCAGAAAATACTATTAGAGAAAATAAAAGACATTGACATTTTAGATAGGGTAGTCCTCACTGAAATGATGTTTGAGTGAGATCTGATGAAAATAACAGGTGAGCCTCTGATTATCAGGAGGGAAGGAACATTCCTGGAAGAAGGAACAGGAAATATAAAAACCCAGGGGTGAGAATATGCTTGATGAATCTGGTAAGCATCAAAGAAGTCAGTGTGGCTGGAGGACAGTGAGCAAAAAAAGGAGTGTAGAAGAAAGAGAAGGCTTGAGAGGTAAATTTGAGTGGGCAGATTATGTAGAGTTTATAGGTCACTAATAAGAAATTTTGTTTCTCTCTGAATAAGATGTGAAATTAATAGATAATTTTGAATAAACAAGAGAGCCGTGAGCTAACACGGTTAAACAGGATCTTTCTGGCTACTAAAATAGGGAGAACGTTATTTTAGTAATGTATATGAGACATGGTAGTGGCTTGAACAAGTATGAAAACAGCAGTGGAAACTTTGTTTCTCCCTGAATAAGATGTGAAATTAATAGATAATTTTGAATAAACAAGAGAACCGTGAGCTAACTTATGGTTAAACAGGATCTTTCTGGCTACTAAAATAGGGAAAACATTATTTTAGTAATACATATGAGAGATGGTAGTGGCTTGAACAAGTATGAAAACGGGAATAAAATGATCAACTTTTAGATCTATAGGACAGTAAAACTTTTTATTGCAAGTAACTTGTCTGGAAGTGTTTCACAAGATGCGTAAACATTTCTAATAAATTCTAACTTGATAAATGAGCTATGTCTTAGAATACAAGTAGTATGTGGTGCTGAATGTCACGTGATCTCTCTCTCCCTCTCCCCATCTCTCTGTCACTCACTCTGTGTGTCTCAATCTGCCTTGGGTTGTGGGGTGATAGTCTCCCATAAGTATGAAGTTATGGAGGATATCTCATCTACAGAGGATAAGGAGAAAAAGGTGGAAGTATCTCTCACTTCAGATGAGATTAGGAAGATGTGTAAAATGTGAGAAACAGTACAAACTTTTGTGGAAGAGCACCACCAAAATATAGCTGTAGCAGTGTGAACAGTGAATCTATTTAACTACAATGCAATGTCCCATTTCATGAAATCCTCTAAAGAAGGCAAAACTAAGTGTCATTGATGAGTTCCTTGTTAAAGTTGCATGAAAAGAAAGATTCCATTGAGCCAATAGATAGCAGTGATTGCTTTAGTGATAGTGAAAGTCATTCTACACAGTACTAATCCTCTCTTCTCCTTCATACTGACCATGAAGGTTTTCGAAGGTAACTGCTGGTTAATGTGTTTTTGTTTATATTTTGTATTTACTTTATATTACAGTATTGTAATCATTTTTATATGAATATTTTTGGGTTGTGGAATGAATCATCTGAGTTTCAATTATGGGGAAATTCACACAAGTGCTTTGGGACTACAGATATGTTTCTGAAATGAATTATGCATATAAACCAAGGCTATACTATATTTTGAAGATGGGATATTAGAGAAAGACAGTGGACCAAGAATAACTTCAGTATTTGGGGTCTGAACACTGGAGTTTTGTATGTCAGATTTAAAATGCCCATCATAGATCCAAATAGAGATGGTGAATAGAATTAAAGAGGTCCAAACTAGTGCTATAAATTTGGAAATCAGTAACATTTAAAGTGATCAGATTGGATGAAAACACAGTTTTGGGAGTGAGTGTATCTTGAAAAGAGAAAAGGTCAAGGAGATGAGAAGGAGCCATTAAAGGATTAGGCAGAGTTGTAGTAGGAAAACTAGATTTAGTTTCCTGAAGTCAGGTATTTCAAAGAGGAGGGAGTGATAAATTGTGTTAAGTTCTGCTCAAAGATAAAGTAAAATAGATTATTAATGTGAAGGACATTGGCAATCATTGTAGTCATTTTAGTGAAATAAAGTTTGGAAGGTTTTAAGAAAAGAGGGAATGGGGGAGAGAAAGTTGAGAGCTATTCCATCAGGTATAAAAAGCTCAGTAAGTTACATTTTGAAGCAAGAAGACAAATGGGACACTTACCAGAGAAGGAAATGGGTTAACAGTTTTTAAGAGATACAGCATGCTTAAATAAAGAGAGGTTCAGGGGAGGGGAAAGATGATGCAGGAGAGAAAGGGGAAAATTTTTTTTAATAGAATGTTGTATGATAAAAGGAATGGATAAGTGAAAGTGTTGGGCCTTAGGAAGAAAAGACATTTCTACAATAGCAATAGAAAAAAGGAAATGTATGTGGCATAGAATGATTGTAAGTGGATGGGATTTTTGGTTTCACAGTTTCAGTTTTCCTTAGGAGTATAAGATCATTTACTGAAAATGAGGGTGAGGTAAAAAAGTTAATAGATTTTGTGAAAAAATAGCACATGGATAAAAATGAGATGTCTGTAACTAGTAATTAGTATGTAGGATATATAATTCCCTTCTGGTAGGCATTGTGTTTGCATGAAGCATTAACCAAGGAAAAAAATGGAAATGCTACGCAATACAGAAATTATGAGCCAGGTGTGGTAGCTCATGCTTGTAATCCCAGCACAGGGAAGGCTGAGGCAGGAGGAGCAGTGCAAGTTTGAGGCCAGCCTGGGCTCCATAGTGAGTTCAAGGTCAGCTCAAACTACACAGAAAGACCCTGTTTCAGAAACAAAAATATGTACTTCCTTCAGTTTGTGGAACTTTGACTATACTTTGATAACCTGTTGATCTCTAAGGTTGACAGTTATAGCTCTGGAATAGGGAGTGTCAGAAGCCTGCAGCTTTTATCTTGTTTATAGAGACTGTGAATTTTTCCAACATGGCCAGAGGTCCCTTCTTGGTCAGCAGTTTAACCCTACATGGGCTGGTCCCCAATAGGTCACTGTGAGTTTTAGCCCCACGTGGGCTACATAGTTCAAGTCCAGTTTGAACTACGTAGTGAGACACTGTCTCAAAAAAAAAAAAAAAAAAAAAGATAAGCTAGTATATTAGTTACAATAGCTACTTTGGCTAATCATTTATTTCTAACCTATCTAAAGCCCAACATAATGTTCTTATTTAGTGACTGTCATTCCTCTAGGCAGTAATATTTAAGAAATGTGGCTTCTGACTTCTAGTTCTACCAGTTTTAACAATTACCTTCCAAGATTATTAGAAAAAGGGAAACACAATTAAAGATGAATGTGATAAGTTTGTAAAGGCCCACACCTGAAAGAGATGTATATAACTTCTACCCATGTTTTATTTTCTAGAACCAAATCCTTTGGCCACACTTAAGCTGTGGCCCACATTCTTTTTTTTTTTTTTTTTTTTTTTAAATTTTTATTTTTCTCCGGTACCGGGAACCGAACTCACGACCTTGCGCTTGCCTGGCAGGCGCTTTGCTGCTGAGCTAAATCCCCAGCCCCGTGGCCCACATTCTAGTTCTCAGCAGATCACAAAAGGAATTAGGTGAACAACTAACTAGTTCATTACAATTCGTTTATGCTCTTTTAATTTTTCAAATTTTGTTCCTCCTTGCTTTTAATAAAAACAGGATGAATTAGTTAGGGTTCTTAAGGTTTGAAAGATTGTTTCTCCCTGCTATTTCTTGAACACACCAGGCATGCTTCTGTTTTGAAGCCTTCCCACTCCCTCCATCACTTTATGATTGCCCTAACACTGTTCTTTTTCTTCCCATGGTGTATGTTATCTTCAAAAATACTGTTATGAATATATTTATTATTCATTGTATCCCCCACTAGAATGTAGATTTCGCAAGATAAGGATTTTTGACTACTTTATTGATGAATTCCAAGCGACTAGCACAATGTTTGTCTCGCCCATGGCAGGTACGCAGTATTTGTTGAATGGAGTGAATAAAATATTAATACATATTTAAGAGAAATTTACATGTACCATAATTGTGATTCTTAGCATTAGTAAAATTTCAGGTCCAAAATGTTGAATGGATGATTTGAAGATAAAATCAAGTATTGGAAATTAGAAAATTATGAAACTTTCAAAAATCACATTATTTAGAGGCTTCTATTTGACTCTTTGAGCTCTGGAGGGTTTAATATTTTAAAATTTTTTTATGTTAAAAATTAAAAAAAAAACAATGAAGACAAAATCAAAACAACACAAAAACAACAAAAATGATACATGACCTCAAAACAAAATGATAGGAATTAATGATGGTTGTTACATTACATACTGTTGTCTTCAATGAAGTTGCTCAGTCCACCAAACATAATGTAAGATTAATCAAACAATCAAATACAGTAACAAGTAATAAAAAAAAAAGAACATTGGAAATGATGCAGAGCTTCACCATATAAGATGGAAGTTCAGCAATGGTTCTTATACTGCATATTTTCAGATCAGTCATTCTGATTACCAAATTTAAGCTTGTAAAACTGGTCAAGAAAAATTTTAAACATACTGTTCCTTTTTTTCATTTTAAAAATAAAAGGAGCAAAACATTAATGGACAGACAACCTTTTACAAAACAGCAAAAGAACAATACAGACAATGCAGAGTTACAAACAAAGTGGTAGGAAATGAACAATGCTTGCTGTGTTACATATTGATATCTTCAAAGTGGTTTCTCATGAAAACAGAGACATGCAATATTGATCAATCAAGGA